GTCTGACGCGTCTGCCTCCGCGACCCGAAAGGAGAAGCGGCGATGGAAGATGAAGATGAAGATGAAGACGGTAATTGAAAATCACCGTAAGTGATAATTAGTCTTGAAAAATAATTCCCCATAAGCATCCTCATGTGGTCGAACTCCGTACCGTTTTCTACATAACTTCATTTTGACTTCATTCACTGGTTTGATTTGTTTGCTTTCTTCCATACAGATGATATATAAATTCACATTTTATACTACATTTTCGACTTTCGCAGTGTCACTGTTTGCCTGAGCATGGCCAAAATTAAAAGACTCAACATTGGTTGAATTCCAGCACTGCTAGGATCGATGTTGACGTCGTGAAAGTGAAGGCTAGGAATTAGTTCTTATACTTGTGTCTACGGCCACTGACTCCGTTTGATTTATATTTAACAGTAGGCATGGAAAGAAGCATCGACCCATTCCCCGGTTGAATAGCGGTTAATGGTCTTCGTTTCTGGATCCACGGTTCAAGGAAACGTTTAATGAGGATTCGCCTGCGAATGAACGACTTTACCTGGTGCTTGTTTACAGTTGCCTTCAATCGTGTCTCGAAAAAACATGACCATTATGACATTTTGCTGTACAGACAAACATTCCCCTTTACGCTAATGTTTACTAGCCAATGCCAGCTTTTGATAGAGGTGATCAGCATTAACATAAACGAGTCGCTTTCCTGTTTAGCACGGCATAGTTGCACCTTCTCCTTGCCACTAACAGTCTAGAGAACCATTCAAGCAGGCTACTGCTCCATAGTATTGTAGCACCTTCAATGATGGATGCAAAAGGCACAACTGTGCTGGGTCGAACAAAAATATTTACGTACATTTAAGAGTATTTATATTGTTCCTCTCGATGATCTTTGAAGTACTTTTCTTCAACGACATACATAATTCATCGCATGCACGAACGCGTCTTGCATAAATGAAACCACTGACCCAAAATTATTCATGTTTGAATTTAAATTATGTCGCCCTAGATTATTACCTTGATCAATGGTGGTTGCTGTCTATAGAAAATGGTCATGTCTCAAATCGTCACAGTACAGTAGGCAAAATATCACAAAAGTAAGAAAAACTAGTGCAGAAAAACAAACATGTTTATTCTCTCACTGTCACATGACTGGCTGCTTTACAATCAGCTGGTTTCAAGTTTGACCATATCCTGAGAATTCTGACGAGAAACGACTGGACATACATGCGAATAGACTGCAGAGATAAATACATCCTTTACTGGTATAAACTTTCCCTCAAGACAGAGTCAGTTGTCATACAGTTAGGATGCAATTCAGACACTACGGTCCTCAACAAGATTTGGAAATGGCCAGCGACAAAATCGTGTAATCGCATTGTCCCAATTGTTTGGTCTAAGTTTCACCGTACACAGCAATAGAAATTATCTTATCCACGAAAGTAAATAATCAATTGGAAAATTACACTGCCTCACACAAATTTGAACCTTGTATTACTTATATACACTAAGTAATTGCAAGCAATGAACTCTCTACATGTACTCCTACTCCTTTGTGCATTGTCGATCCATGATTTTGGAGTCCCGTCCCGGTATTCGTCTCAAATCGATGGATGGGCCGGTTAATCGACGAATGGACGAGTTTCTAAATGGACTGACAAATGAGCAAACGAATAAATCTCTGTAAGAAAATTCACAACAGAGGAAAATAATTCCAGTATCTGAGGGACATTAAGTGGAAAAAGCTAAGACAAGCAGCTTAAAATATCCAGCGTTTTCTTCTTTTAGGTGGTCGAATGTTCTCATAGATCCATCTTCAACTCTTTCAACTATCCTACCGCCTCCTGCATTAAAACAATACTATATAATATTCATTGGAAATCAAATTGCACTCTTGAAATGAGAAGCAAATGACTAGCTCCAATATAAAATCGCTCATGATTGGTGTCCCCTTTTTTATTTATCACTTTAATGAGCAATCTCAGATCAAGATTTAAACTGAAAAGCCACCGGAAGACAGCCTCTGAGGATTGTTTACTTCTGTGGTGTCGTCATTTTGCGAAAGGATCTGACATTTGATGATAAATTGGGCCCGTGTTATTACTACCCGCTTCAAACTCGTATAAGGCAAGTAGTTTTCGTTGCGACTAACTCATCACGTCACTTCTGTACTTCTGTTTACTTATTCTCCAATTATTTTGAAAATGCTTAATATCATGGCTTATGTGCAGTTGTTAGAGCTTCAACATACACAGTGTAATAGTCGTATTAATGACAGGATTTCAATTTTCTTAAGGTACAGGATTCTAAATCTACAGCAACTTTGTTGATACAGCACCATGACATTTCCTGATAATGGCATTTCAGACATAGAATTCTTCATAAGAGCACTTTCATGCTTCTTATTCTGTGGCATGAAACATTGGGCACAGTCTATTTCATGTCTACATTCAGCCACCTATTTTTCATTGCCATCCTTGCCGCTGCCATGTGGTTTTGCGTCTTTCTCAAACTAGGCATAATCAACTACAGGGTGATTGGCGCTTGCATCAAAAGCTTTAGTCTAAAAAGCGGTTATGATTACAGCATTAAAGAGCATACCACTCATGCTCAGTAGTGGGTGGGGGCTGAGCTTTGACACAGAAACAGAATACATTTACACGCTTGAATTACGTGTTCGGAAGATGATGCCAACGCCTCAAAATTTCTGATTTTCTGCAAGGTTTGTTGTTGAGAAGCTTAGTAAAAATGTTCTGAAATTATTTGCGGGTGTCTGCTCCATGCACGCTGAACTGAAATGTTCCGGATGATGAACTATATTTTACTACATGTCATTATATTCTCGAAAGAACTGTGGCAGCCTTGCAAAGAGTCATGAAGAAGCCCCATTTTTGCTCCTCTGAGCAGCACAGAATATCTCGATATGCAGAAGAGTGTCAGTTGCACCAAATAGACTTATCTCAGAGGTGAATTACAACATTAAGAACGACCATCGCTGCGCATTTCGCTCCACAGTCATCCGTGACCGAGTACTTGCTGTGTCCGTACTGATCTGCCAACAGTACTGAGAAATATAGAGAAAACTGCACAGAAACAACTTTATATACAAACACAATATAGGAGAGTGGGTGACAGACTGTTACCACATTTCAGACAAAATATCAGGGGCTTATTTCAATGCAAATGCGAGGTAGTTCTTAGTTGCTGCATCAATCGTCTGCAACCAGTGGCTGTTTTGGATTCGAAAGGCCTCTCTCGCCATACACTACGCCACATAGCATCGCGCTCAGCACAGCCATTTATGTTCGATTTTTTGCATACAAATTTTAATAGAAAATATATATAGTTAAATAAAATAATTATTTATGAACCGTAATTTAAATCATGGTCCAACGTCTCCTGGGTAACTTGTTCTGAAAAGCGACAGGTGCACTATACTTAGAAGTTTCACACATTAAAAAAAATTTAATTACTCGATTTTTTGGGTTCCCACGATACTCTTTTCGTCCCCTTTCCTCAGATAGCAGAATTACC